CATTTCTTTCTCCAAGCATCTCAAACTTCATTATGACTCTCAAATTTATCCTGTAGCCCTAACTTCACTCTTCAAGATCCAAATATAAATTTTAACTTGCTGTACAAGATTAACTAGGTGTGCTACCAGCCCCTTAAAGGTACCAGGCAAACCAGAGATATTATGTGTATGTGTATGTGTATGAAACTTCTTCATCAGTATGGTTTGTGATCAAAAACACGTTTTAGGATCAGATGTACCTGAATTTGAATCCCAGTTCTGTCACTTATTAGCTGAGAAACCTTGATGAAATGAACTTTGTCTCCATTTTTTCATGTGAAAATGGGGTTGAAAACAGTACTTACAACTCTTATGGTTTTTCAGATTAGTACAATACCTGGAACATGCTAACAGCTCACTAAACAGTTAATATTATTATCAGTAGCATTACCATTTTTCTAGTCCTCCTACGAATGTTGACTAGCCTGTCTCCAAACCTATCATCAATCTAGCTACTTCATATGCAAAGATGACTGAGGTTCCAACAGCTCAGTCATCTTTGATACATTCTTTTTTTAAAAAATAATAAATCCAATCAGAATTTATAATTTTTAATCTCTATCACGATCTGTATTTCATTCCTTGATAATTTAGGATTATTATCATAGCCAACTAATCAGATTACTAGATTTTATGTTTAAAGGAACCTAAAGAAACCTGTTTTTGTTTCGCCTATATTATCTAGTATAATGCCTAACGCATAAAGTTTGCTATTAGACACTAATATAATCTTTACACTTACTTATTCCTCCACAGACCCCTTAAGTTCTTTGAAAGCAGGAAGTGTCTTGGTCCTCTGTGTATACCTTCACCTGCCAAAATCCCTTAGTAAATAAATGTTTGTTGAATGAATGAATGTTGACTAGCCTCACTGTCTCAACCTATCATCAATCTAGCTACTTCATATGCAAATGGTAGGTCTTATATTCCCTCATCTAACCATTTATTCTGACCAAACTGACCTCACTACAACATTGTCAAGAGCAGTCTCACTTTATTAGTCAGGACTTTTATTTTGCATTCAAAAATGCTACTCAAATTAAGCAGAAAAGGGAATTTATTAGCTTGCATAATTCGAAAGTCCAAGGATAGCACTAATTTAAGGCCTGGCTATTGATCCAAAGGTTCATACAGATCCAAAGGCTCGAACACTCTCATTAGAACTTGGCTTTACTCTATCTTTGGCTCTGCTTTCCATTTACTGGCAAGCTCCTGGATCACATTCTATTTCTCAGCAACCCCATGGTTCAAAGCATGCCTTTTTCTCAACAGTTTTAATAAAAAAATTCAGAATTAACATTCACATGGGCTGACTGGAAAATATATCCATCTCTGAAAAATCACTGTGGCCAGAAGAATGGACAACATAGATTGGCTAGGCCTGAATCATGTGCATACTCTTGTGTCAGGGTAGGATCCATGTAACTGAGAGGGGTGGTTCCCTAGGAAAACTAGAGTACAGTATTGTTATGAGATGAAAGGAGTATGTGTGAGATGGACTAGCAAAATTAACTGTTGTGCCCTATACTCTGAGACTGTTTGCATGTCTATCAGTGCCTGGAATGGCCTTCCTTCTCCTTTCTGCCTACCCAGAACCAAGCTACATCCTTTGTTGACCCTGAAAGTCTTCTGTGATTTCTCCTAAGATTTTCTTGTCCACTCAATCAAGTCACCCATTCCCAAATAAGTATTTCCATACCCCTCCCCCCACAGCCCTCAAAGCTCTACTGTTTAAGACAAACAGGAAAGGGAAACCTCCAGAAAATGTTCCATGATGAATTCTAACTATGTCAAATTATAAATGGTATGGGTAATATGTACTGTTTCTTTTCTTTTCTTTTCTTTTTGAGAGAGGAAGGGAGAGAGTTACACACATCAATTTACTCTTCTACTTATTAGTTTGATTATATCTTGTCTGTGCCCGGACTGGGGATCGAACCAGCAACTTGGCATATCAGGCTGAAGCTCTAACCAAGTGAGCTACCAGGCCAGGGCTGTGTTGTTTTTTAGAGTGTAAACTCCTGGAGGACAATAGCTCTACCAGATACATTCTACACTTATGAAAGAATAAAATGTGTGGCAACTTTGATACATGCAGCATTCAAATAATTTTCTTGGCTTTAAGTTTCCTACAGAGTCTAACCAAAACTTTTTTGCTAACATAAATTGGGTCTGACTTCATCAAAGTGATAGGGGAACTCAAGAGTTAAAGATTATAGTTTCAGCCACAGCGGACAGGCTTAAGTGACTAATGCATGTGGAACACTATTATTCCAGGAACTGGAATGAATGACCAGTGACTCCAGGTGGTCTACAAGCATTTTAACCTTTGTGCCCCAGGGGGTCTGCAAGCAATGGAGATGGTGTCTAAGCCACTGTGTTCCTGAGAGGAAAGTACAGGACACAGATAAAGAATTGTTGATCAACAGATAAAAAAGTACTAGGAAAATCACCAACTGGACTGCAACTCTGATCCAATAAAGTTTTGTCCCAAACCCCTTACCTACTCTTTCTTCTCCTTATAAAAAGGTCATCTTGAGATTAGGTATTAAGACTATTTTTGAGGGTACATAACTCACTATTTTCTCAGATAGCCAACATATGAATAAAGCGCTCATAAAGAGTCAATCCTTGTCTCTATTTATTGGTTCTGGTAGTGACAGGCAGCACAAATGCCAACTTTTCCAATTTCAAAGGTTGCTGGTGTAACAGGTAGACTACGGTTTTGGAATTACCTCCAATGAGGCTCAAATCCTGGCTAATACCACCTTCTCTGGCATTTAGCTACAGGTCCTTGAGCAAATTATCTTCTCTCTCCAAACCCTGGTTTCACTATCTGAAAAACAGAATGGTAGTAACTGTCTGTACAGAGGAGACTAGGACATGTGGTATAGTGGAGAGAAAAGAATCAGATGGCCCTAGGCGGAAATTCTGCCACTAATACTTGTAATATGACTTTCTCTGAGTGATTCCTCACTGTAAATTTTAAATACTTCCTCATATGTAAAGTGGGGATTATAATATTTAGTCCATTGGTTGTTACACATGTAACAAGGCAATGTATTTTAAAACATCTGACACACTGAATAGCAAACAGTTAAAACTCAATAAATGATGTTATCCACATCAAATTATCTGTTTAAAATGATTCAGGAAATAACTCAGTATTTTTGTACTTACCAAAGTCTGCCACAGATTTCTTATACTTAGTAAGTGATATTTCTAACATATTAAAAAATGAATTTAGTACAATAGGTTATAAAATACCTTGTAATTGTTTTTTCCTTTTTACACTTTTTGACCAGATAAAATATCAACCAATCAAAAATATGGTTTATATGTAAACTATTAAAATAATAAAATAAAACATGGATAACAAGTTCAAAATTCAGAGCACAAGAAAAAATTCATTGGGATTACTTATCAGTCTTCATAAATGCTCCTGGGTTTTCTTTGCTAGTTAGTAAAATATTTCCTAAAGGCAAAACACTTCAGTCTTAGGACTATTTAAAAGCAGTTAAGATAATGAGCTAGATAAACTAGTATAATCAACTTGTTCTTTAGCTTCAGGCTAAATGTAGTAATATGAAATGATGCACACCAATATGAAATTGCTATGCTACCCCCTGAATACACAGCCATTTCCTGAACAGAATCAGAAAATATGGGTATTAATGACAATTTTAGATGTTACCTATCAGAACACATACAAAAGGCAAATGGCTGTTCACGTCTACCTTAGCAATTAAGTTTAACTTTAATGTCATTCACTAAAAAAATACACACTACATTCGGTACGACTGTTTCCCAAAAGTGATTAGATTTAATAAGCAGGCATTTAATTTCTTCCATTTTACACTAGAGAGAAAGTTTCTTTGGAAAGAAAGCTCCTGAAGCAGTTTAACACTATGTTTATTTTTCTAACAAGAGTGAATCATGTTTACTACTTATCAATCTTTAATGAGTGCACAAACATAGGAAGGTGTTAAACTGAAGATTTTAAAATAAATAAAATGGGATTATTACAGATACATAGTGCTACACATTCTTCGGTTGCAAAAACACTATGAAAATAAAATATTTAATTATATTACACACACTTTTTGTAAAGGACTTTTTTTCTCCTTTGTATTTGAGCAAAACATGAATAGACTCAGCTTTTAATCTACTCCCTGAGGACCTGTATTTTAAACACAAGAGAAACATTATGGTGAACCCCTCAGTCAACAGACATTGGTCTCTACAACAGCTCTATACAACGAAGAAAACCTAATTCCTTATTATGTTTCTTGTGTTCGAAAATATGTATGAAGCAAAATGTTTGTTTTTAAAAGCATTAAATACAGATATGGTAGGCAACCTTTGTATCTTTTCGAAGTAGTTTTCTACTTTTGGGGGCGGGGGATGAGGAGAGAGGGGGCACAAGTAAATGGTAGTCTGAGGGTAGGCTCTAGCTATTTCAGCAGGATCTTTGGTAAGTCAACTAGATGAAGGTGGCCAAAGCGAAGTTACCGTGTTCGGGTACACATTAAAAAAAACTCTCGAAAAAACGCCAGTGCTGAGATCTAAGCATTCCTGATCATGCAGTGACCAACGCTACTCAGATCTAATTAAGGGCGCGCTATAATCCCCGATCTTAGCAGAAACCCGGGCGCCGCAGGTTCTGTTTCAGCAGCGACTTAAGTTAATTTTCTAGGAAAGTAAATCACCACCCGTCAATCCCCTACTGTCTCCCCTGAGATGATGCTGTCCGCCTCGCCCATGGCTCGGGATCTGGCCCGTAGGCCGGGGCGGGGGTTGGGGCAGCCGCCTTCTCCCGTTAGCCTTCTCCCGTTACCCGGGTCCCGACCAGGAACTATGGGACTAGTGCTGTAACCACCCGCGAGGCCCCCACAGGCTTGGGCGGCCTCCTGCCGCACCCAGGGCCTCCCGTCGGCAGGGATGTCCCCAGTCCCGCTCACCAGCCCGGGTGGTGTCCGTCAGATCGTGGTTGGCCGCTCCCCGAGGAAACTCCCTCAGTTTCCGGCCGCTCAGGCTCAGCACCCCAGTTATCGCCGCCTCCTCCAGCGCTCGATCAAGGGAGCGGCTCCACGAGCCCGGGCCAGGACCGGGGCCTGCCCCAGAGCTTGGGCTGCAGTTAACACCGGAGAGGTTACCTCCTGACGTTACTGGGCCAGAATATTCTGCAGCTGTAGCCACAGCGACCAAGCCCGCGGCCGCCATTTCCCAGACAACTACCCGACCCGCCAGTTCAGCGCATGCGCCGCCAGACCTGATGGTTGGGCGGGGAAAGACACTGAATAGACCCCAGACGGTTCCCTTGACCGACAGGGCTGCGGTGCCCCTCTGCGCATCTAGGTGCTCGCCTCCGCCCATTAGGTTTTCAGGGGAAAATTAAAACACAAATCTGGAGCCACGGCTGCTACTCTAGGTTCCAGCAACATTTTAAAACTGCCCCTGCAAAAGTATCTTTCAGACAACACTCCTCACCAAATCTCTGCTTTCTTCCCTCAGCACTGGAGGATTAGATTAAGCATCAAATTAAGGCTTCTTGCTGCCAGAAACTTTGGCATTGAGAGGAGCCTGGGATGCGACATAAAACACTTCTCAGCTTCTGCCATTCTGTAAACCAAATGTCCAAATGGAGACTTGTGGATGTAGCCACTATTATTGCCTGAGGGAAAAATATAAACTAGACTGGCTCCCAAATTCCACAGGTCTGATCTAAAGGATTATACAAATATGTTGTAAGCTTTCCTTCACTTTTATAAAATAGTTCTTAACAAAACCAAAGCAAGCATCTAAAATTGTATTTGTCCTTTAGGCAAAATTTTAGGCAGCATAAACAGCATTAAAGTCTAAAATTTCGTTTTGTAACCAAACTTGAGCAAGAGAAAATGATCTGACCATAATCTAAATGTGAGAATTAAAGGTAGAACTGAAGAAAATGGTTAAACAATATTTAGTTTCAAAAAAGTGGAAAATATCACATTTTAAACCAATTAGACTTCACTTACATTGCAGTCTGTAGCCCATTCCTGGGTTTTTTTTTTTTTTTTTTGGACATTTACGCCATCACTGCTACATCATATAAATTTCCCCTACATTCAATCAATCATCAAATATTTACTGTGGGAAATAGAAGAGGCTGACAGATACAGTACTGTTCCTAGGATATTATAATACTAATTATAGAATCCAGACAAATAGGACAATTACAGAACAAGACAGCAAAAAAGGCCTGAGTAGGGGTAGTGTGATTATCAGAATTCAGAGAAAAGGAATCTGTCATGGATGGATGAGGCTCTGAATCAAATATGGATTAAATGAGGTAGGGTGGAAGGTGGGAGCAATATTCCAGATTGGATGGAGGATCAGCATGACCAAACCCATGCCATGCATGATTTACAATGGTACATGTGGAGAATATCAGGACCACGGGCCAAAGATCATGTCAGAAAGCATTAAGAAAGTAAGGTTGGAGAGATCATACTCATCATTCAAGGCCTAATTCTTCAATGAAAACCTTGATTAGCATTTCCCCAACTCCTAATTGGAAGAATTGTAAAAATGCTTCATCTCAGTGCCAAAGATGATTAATAACGACTACTCAGAGTTGTTCTATGAACTCAAGGCTACACGTTAGGTTCTTCAGGAACAAGTTTCATGTTCAATTATCAGTGTTCTTTATGAGCATGGGTCACTGTAATGGTAAGTGATATACTGATATTTGTTATTCCTGGCAAATCACGTTTACCCAATGCATGAATTGGTTTTTATTCTGGTATTCCTAAAATTTTGTTACTCTTAGAAAGATTTTAAGCTGTTTAAGAGCAGGGCCTCATTTTATACTTAGAGAAGCAGAATTTCAACCACAATGATTAAGCATAATCATATATTCCATACTAATGCTACAATACTATAGAAATAGTTGCTAGATCTTTCTAAAATGCACTATATATAATCTATATTTGATTACCTGTTACTTTCCACCTTTACACTAAAGTCTTCTGACAAGTCCTCTGTTATATGACCTCACTTCTTTCTACCAGCACATCTCATAACAACATTCCATAGTAATTGTGGTCTCTGCATTTCTGGCCAAGTTTATAGATTGATGTTACTTTGCCCATTCAACTAGATTTTAAGGTCCTTAATATGTGAAACTCCATCATTATCTTCCATAACCCAGGGCTAAGCATATCAATAGGAGTTAAAAAATAGTAGAAAAAAGCAGAGACAGAAGATGGGTTATATACTAACAAAGTAAAGGTTATGTACAAATACAAGAAAGAAGGTTGGGAGGAAAGAAAAAAGAATTACGGCCCTGAGCAGCATGTCTCAGTTGCTTAGGTGGAGTTCTGAGAAGCAAAAGTTGCAGGTTCACTTCCCAGTCAGGGCACATGCCTGGGTTGTGGGTTTGATCCTGTTCCAACCAACTGATGTTTCTCTCCCTGTCTTTCTTCTACCCTTTCCCTCTCTCTAAAAATATATAAATAAAATCTTTTAAAAAATAATTACAATTTTTGAGAACAAAATAAGTACGTAAATATTTGAAGGACAAAAGAAAGGCTTGTGATTAGAGGAAAATGAAGGTTCTATATATACCATTATACTAGAACAAGTCCTAGGTAAAGAAAGCTGGAAGATAGATCAAGGAGTTACTTGTGAAGACTTCAAAGAATTCAAGGTTTCATTTACAAAGGAAAGGTAGAACATGAAGGAATTCTCATTCTACTCTTTCAGTATTTTTCATAAAGCAATTGACAAGGTCATCTTGCAAGAATGAGATATATAAGAAATGGAGTCACTGTGGGAAGTTCACCAGAGACTTGTGATGAAAAAAAGTGATGAGAAACAGTTGCAAAAAGGCTATAAGCAAACGGGCTACAGGGATCTATAATTTATTCCACTACTGCTCTGTAGTCTGGAAGCAGATGAAGAACAGGCAGTGGGAGTTACTGAATGTTAGAAATGGATACAGAGAACATCCCTGCTTCTTCCTGTTTTATCGGCTGAAAGGAGGAAAGGTTTCACTCAAATCTCAATAGCTCTCTTCAGCTCTACCTCTCTCTACATCATGCAGAAATAAAGCCTTTCCCCCTTTCTATTAACTAAAAGTATATTATGGTCACTTCTTTAAGGCTCTACTTTTATAAACTCAAAGCAGTAGGGTTAAAGTCTCGGTGAATCCCATTCTCTTCAAACATAAAGCACAGAGACTGGCTTGCTGAATATAGTCAATGTTTGGTCCTTCCCTTTCTGACTCCTTTAATAAACACTAATAATTGACTTTTTAAAGCTTTATATAAGAAAATTTAAACAATGTGATTTTTCTTCTTACTAGGGAAAAATGGATGCATAAATTAAACATATACATACTAAGGAAATCATTTTCTATTCATCTTTAAACATCTGTAAATCTCATCTGAAGACATTAAGGACAAGGAATTTCAGTGCCAGAATGGTATCACATTTCCTTATTTTATCAAACTTTATGTTGAAAAGATTTCCAATAGTAAACTGTAAAAGCAGGGAATAAAAAGAGACATTAGAAGTCAACAATTTATAAGCAAATCTCTAAATCCCTATTAATGGTCCACAATAGTCCAAAATTCTAGTTGTAAATGCTTGGGCTTATTGGTATCACTTTTGAAAAGGGACAAATTCCAAATTGATCTATGCAAAAAGAACTCTCCTTAAAGGGAAGTTTAAATCACATGTTTCTATTTTTTACAGTGGTAAAACACAATTATATAATTCTGATGAAAGTTCAAAGGTATACTGAGTAGAACTGAAGAAATCATTTTCTGCCCTAATACTGCCTGCATTTAGCATGTATGTTATCAATTCTCTTTAGTGCAGTCAGCTATTTTTTTCCTCACTCTTCTCTCCTCACAGTAAACAGAAATAAACAGAAAAATCCCCCCCACAAAAGAAAATTACCAACACTGTATGTTGTGAGAATTATAAAGCTATTGACAGCAAAATATGATATACATATTTATCCTAACAAAAAAAAAAACACCACTGGGCAATGAAACCTATTTTCTTCATTCTTATAAGTATTTTATGATCTACTTATAATTAAAATTGTAGTACGCTGTACCAATAAGTGATGCTCTGTTTGCTTTTGCCATTTTGAAGACTTTCTTATGAGTTTACTAATCAAAATTATTGTATAAGTTAGCCAGTAGAATCCTTAGGTTAAAACGATAGGGGGGATTTTGGAGTGTTTAATGTAATGGACATTTTTGCACATTTTTTAGTAGTATTGGCCCTTTGCTCAGCATTTGAATGTTTCCTATGTTTTCGTTCCACAGTTAACCTCCCCTCCCCAAATTTCCTAGTCACATCCAATTCCTCAATGACATTTTCTAGTAGTTTGACATATTTACTGAGGAAAAATTTGTGACTCCAATGCAGGTGTCTTCATTACTGCTACCTTAACATTGAGGGAAAAGCAAAACCCCTTTGTTAGAATTACTGCATGTTTGTAGAAAAAGTATTTTTTGAAGGCTAGAATTATACAAGTGAGCAAAAACAAGTTAGTTAGCTTGACTATGGAGTGGTGGCAATAATGTAAACATTCCAAAAGACAATGAGCTGAACCTAAGCTCCCTTGGAATCTGAACGGACACAGGAACATGGAACTGCCATTTGAAAACTGTAATTAGGTAGTTTGACCCTCAGAGGCATAGCAACCAGTAGCCTAAAGTCATTTCAAGTACAGAAACTATATTGGGATTATAATGATATAAATTTGAACATTGAGTGTAACTTCTCATTTTTCTTAAGAATATTTCTAAACTCAAAGCTAAGCAGAATTGACTATACTTCAAGTATGATATTGAGTTGACTATGTTTCTTTCTTTACCACCACCTCATTGTTCCCGTTTCCTTTCCTAAGACAATATCGCACAACTTAGGCTATTTTTTCTTCAGAAATTTGAATGGAAAACTTCATGTCATGATTTTTTTTTTTTTTTGCAAGACACCTGTTTATCGCCTTGTTCAAAATAAATAGTCCCTTATGCTTTTGAAATAAATTTTTCTGTAAAACAAAAATGTGGTAAAGTTTATGCTTATGAGGGAAAAAAAAATACATAGTCTGTTTAGGAACACTAGTTTTCTCTAATAGCGCTGTCTATATAACTTGAGTACCAAAGTAATGAAGTCTCATAATCACCATTGCTAGATTTATTTACCATACTACAAATGCTAAAGTATTATCATTTCTTA